AAATGAAGAAATCTAGTGGGAAGCAACCCCTGTGAAAAAGAGGGGGCAGGAGCAGCGGGAGCGGGCAGGATGATGGCGGGCGGAGCCTCACATTTGGGGCAGAAGCCGGGAGGCCCTCATAGCCCTGCCTCCATGAGCACTGGCCACAGCTGCCGCCCCAACCCTCAAGGTTGCCCCTGGCAGGGAGGACTGAGCAGCCTCCATGACGGCCACAGTGGGGGCGCCCCATCTGGCGACCTCTGATTTCTCAGAGATGAGGGATTGTCTGCCAGAAGTGCGGTGGAGAGGTCACAGGTGGAGGGCAGTGGAGAAGGCCTGGAGCAGCTCTAGGGGAAAGGGAAAGGCCGGCTGCTCCAGGTGGGGCTGAGATTGGAGGTTCTGTAGGGGTCTAGTACCCCCGTGGGGGAGATGAGGGAGGCAGGAGGTTGGTCTGACTTGGAGCTAGGATGCCTAGCCTGGTCAGGGGCACTGGAAGGACACAGGAGTTGTGGGCGGGGGAGCAGGCCTGGGGAAGGGGGTATCTGATGTGATGTAGAGGGTCTGGGCCTTCGGGAGTGGGAGGTGAGGATGGGCTGGGGCGGGGATGCAGGGGAACTCCATGAGGTCAAGGACAGGGGTGGGAGTCATGGATGAAAACTCTGGAAGGAAAAAGGCTGGGATCAGATAGTGGGGACTCTGGAATTGTTTAAGAGCAGAGGTGGAACAGTTCTAGGTAATGACAATGTTGGGTGGCTGAGGAGGGCACAGAGCCATGAGGCAGGACTGTTTCAGGATATGGGGTCACAGCTGATGGCATGTTTTCAGTCCTGCCACATCCCCCGTCAGCCAGCAGCCCTGCAACCCTGTGTCTGACAGCCCCAAGCTCCTGGTGCAGGGCTAACCCTCCGGCACAGCACAGGCCCGGTCACATGCCTGACAGCTCCCACCAACGCCCCTCCGGGACAGTTCCAGGCTAAAGCTTGACCCTCGGACAGGAGGAAGGAGGATCCACCTCAGCCAGAGGCCACAGAAGGCTGAGAAGCCCCAGTCCCTGAAGGGCAGAGCTCCCTTTGAGGAGACACCAGGGTCCACAGGGGAAGTACAAGAGGGCATTTAACAGAGGACTTGACTGCCTCCAGGCACTCAGGAAAGGCTTTCATTTCTAGCACCTGATGCCTGGGCTGAGATCTGAGGGGAAAATGGGGAGTCCTGGGTGAAGCAGGGGGATCAAGAGGAGGCTCACAGAGAGGCCCCACTGGCCCAGCAGAGCCCAGCCTGCAAACTCCCCTTCCTTGTCACATTGCCTTCTCCTGGGTTTTCAAAGAACTCTTGTTCCCTTTCACCACAGGGCCTTTGCCCACGCTGTCCCTTTCCCGGGAAAGCGCCCCTGCCTCCTCCCCCATCC